GTTCATATTCATGATGTAAATGCATCACGACGCAAGGAGCCGATGTAGAGATTACATTATGACATAAGACATGCATATTTATGATGATTATTTATGTTATGATGAGACATGATTATTGTGGGATATGTTGGATTATGTTGTTATTTGATGTAACCATAAGGGTTGTCTACGCCACTATTAAATATTCGGATGTTATTGTTGGAAAATAGGGATTTGTATCTACCATGGTTTATGGATGTTGTCAGGACTATATGATGTAGGTTCATGACTAATTATGTTATTTATGATTATGAGATCTTTCACGTTTTCATTTATTGTAATACATAAGGATAAAAAAGAAAACGATAATTCACCTGGTGGATTAAAGTCTAATTAATAATGCATTGCTTAGCTTCAACGTTTAAATATACTAAACAAGTTGTGCGTGGTACCATGTATGTTAATACATTGGCGGATGACGGGGTGTTATATTTCGGCATTTTTCAGAAACTCATTTTCAAAAGAATATGAGGATTGGGTGGACAACTGAGTCAACCTCATGCTACTTTCCATCGAATCAGACAAAAGCCTAAAACGTAATTATATAACATAGAATAGAATCAGGGCATATACGAAAATGAATGCTTTTGGAAAGACACATTCATCTATAGTAAATTACATGTTCTTAAAAGTATACACGATACCTTTTTTGAAGTCTACGTTGGAATAAAAAAGAACCCTTATGGTATATTTTGTATTTGATATTCTCATGTGACCTATACATTCATAAAAACAAATATAGTTAGACATAGGAAAAAATAGTATAACAGAGAAATTGAACAATATATACTCAAACAAAAGCATAAAATGAGAAAGAACTATCAGAAAAAATATCCCTAAACGATTTATCCTTGCAAGCTAGACTATGAACACATTACGAGGAGATTCATTATCTACCAAAAAATTTGTACTTTAATCTACATACTGCTCCTACAAAGTACACTCAAGGTTGTGTCCCCTATTTCATAGTGGTTGTAAGAAATCATGTGATATATTTAAGCACATTTAACCAAGAAGAAATCTATATAAACGTACGATAAACATAAATACCTTAGGTTGTCAAGCTTTAACATAACCATTTTTGTTTTTCTACCGAAGATAACATGCTTACGAACTTCCTAAATTCCTAATAGTAAACCAATGGCGTCTACAAAACAAAGAAGTTAGATATATGATAATCTTAAAAACAAAACAAATAAGTGAGTGATATCTGATACAGAATATATTACCTACTAAATAAGGACAGTCAAGTGCTTCTTTCTCAATAATTTCAAAATCAACAAAATCAAATCCATTGGCAGAAAAGTAGCATCAACAATCGATTGAATAATTAGATAATTATGCATAGTTGACCTGAAACTATCACTATTTAAACCAACTCCAAATTTTTTAATAAATTAGATATCTCCTTCACGAATTTTATTCTGGACTTGTAAAGAACCTTGCACAATAGCATGGATCCTTCCACTCTAAAAAACGTACACATTACTAAAATAATGAAAACCAAATTATATTCATTTTACAACAATTATGCCAAATAGATCCCAAAAGTATTACATGTTCATCAAATAAAACCATCTTCACATTGTCATCAAAATCCTTCCGATACAAATTAGGAATCTTCCAAGTCTTATACACCTTAACATTAACCCTTCACTCCTCCTTGGTAGGATTATGATCCTTTATAAAATCATATTTGGAATACATAGTGCAGAAGAACAACTTGAAAAAAGAAGAAGAAAAAACAGACAAAGAATAGAATAAATATATGCGCAGAAGCCAATTACCAAACAAAAAAATGCAGTAACACATAAGCAAACTTTTCAAAGAATGGAGTAATTTTCGGCTAGAGTTTTGGATGGAGCAAAATAAAAAAAAATATCTAATTTAAATAAGGAAAAAAGGAAACCAAATATGATGGCTAATTAACCTTTTGATTAGCGCCCCATAACTTTCCAATCATATTGGGTAATTTACTCTCTCTTTTTATCCAATCAATCCAATTGTTTGGTTTCCCTAATTTGAGCCAATCAATCTAATTAATTGGTTTCCTTAATTTGAGCCAACCAATCTAATTAATTAGTTTCCTTAATTTTCTCCATTGTCATCAAATCTAAATTCATAACTACATTTAAATTCAAATTTCAAAATCAGAATTCAAATTAATTTTATTAATTTAACATTTAAATTAATTAGGTTGCACCATGTATCAAATCCTACTTGACCCATGACACATATAATTTTTTTTTTAAACTTTCTTAAGATGGAAAGTTTACTCTTTTCAAAAGATTCCAAATCATTGTATGAATTACATGTGACAAAACTTTTCACAGAATAACTCTGAATTATAATATAGTATAGATATGGGTTAAAGACTTCTTATGTTACATGAGAAGAATATATTTTCCTACACAATAAACATGTGGGTCCTAATGAAAAGAGGAAAAAGAAAAAAATTCAATGGGACCCACTTGTTTATTGTGTGTATAGGAGAAAATATTCTTCTTATGTAACATGAGAAGTTTTGCCAAATAATAGTAGCTCGGTTGGCGTATGGGAGCTGAGAAGATGGGGTGAGAGCATGTGTTCGATACTTTCCAGCACCATTTTTGGAAGGGGTTTAAAGCCTTAGTCATGGAACCGCCCCAAATAGGATTTCCTCTCATGGAGGATACCTGTGGTGTATCAAAAAAAAGTCTCTAACCCTATATGTGTGTGTGTGTGTGTGCGTGTGTGTGTGTGTGATCTGGATAATATATAAGCCCAGAAAGAGCCCTTTAAGGCGCAATGACCCCATTGTGCGGAATACACACACATCAAACATTGCACAGACTCTCATGTAAAGTCGTCTTATATAAACTTAACGACTAAGGAGAGTCTTAGTTCCACCATGCATAAGGGCCAACACGAGTAAGACAGCTCGAACTTGCCACTATTCTATAAGGATAGGCTGTTATATAGACTTGCTCACCAAGAAAATAGCCATAACGATACCAACTGAATAGAGAGGCAGCAGCCTACCGCAACCAATAAGAAGATATGCCTCCTACAAAAGCGACACAAAACTTGCTATAAATATTAAGGGTACAAATCCAGGTATGACAATCTGATTCCAATAACTATAACAAATAGCTAGTATTGATACTGACTTGAGCATCAGAATGTCTTTGCAAGTACTTCCTAGTCACTTTCCACTTTATTGTCCATAGAAGCATATACCGATACAGATTCAAGCCCAATTGATTCAATTCTTGGCCCAAAGTCTTCGACCTTCAACCGTGTACGATTTGGCCCATCTTCAACTTGGATCAAATATGATTTTATAGGCGTCATAATTTTCTTTATTACATCTCAGATACAATAATTTTTTCCCAAAAAAAAATGACTTTTAAATTTTCATTATTATCTTATTTGGGAAAAAATTGACTTTTAAATTTTCATTATTATCTTATTACAAAGAATTCAACATTTGAATTTTCTTGAATATATATTTTATGACAAAAATTAATGTATATTTAAATAATATTTTTTAAAAATAACACTAATTTTTAATGTCTATCTGATATGATCCTAAATTAATATTCAAAATTCAGTTGTTTAAAAATTGTGTCATACTAAAAGCTTATTTAAGGATGACCTGTTCTCCTTTGTAGCACTGTTCAATCGATTCAATCGACCGGTTCGACGAACTCTGATTATAAATTAAAATATTTTTAATTTGGATACCAAAAAAATAAAATTTAATTTTATATTTATTATATTTTGTTATATATATAGTTTAATAATGGGGTTTGCATTTGTCATTTAACATGACACAACAAATTTTCTTACACACACAATATTTTGTGAGGCCCACTTGAAGAAAAAAAAAAAATTACAGCACGTAAAACGAATCTCTATAACATTATACAATCACTTCTCCTACAACATAACTCTTATAAAACCCTTTAATAATTTACTGATTAAACCGATAATTCATATCTCACGGAGTCGATATTTGTAGTGTATGTCTGGACTATGTGGAGGCTTTTTCAATTGCGGGCGAAAGTGCTACAGTCCTGTCGGTGTTGGAACTGGAACCCTAATTAAGCTAATTTTATTATTTCGGTTTCTTTTTTATATCTTTCCTTTTAAAAAATCAATCGATTTATTTGAAAAAGAACACGTGGCAACTTTTAAACACCTCTCGCTCTGGGACCACTTAGGTAACTTCTCGTATAGGCACACGGCCTACAAAGATTCCCCGCCGCCATGACCCTCTTCCTCTTTCTCTCTCTGCACTATTCGTTCACGTTTCGCTACTCACTCTGCACGTGCAAAACATCAATTTACGAAATTACCCATGAGGACATCTTTAGCTTAGCTTGTATGGATTGGACTGAAAGTTAGAAATTTTGGATCTGAGTGGGAACTTTGTTCGTACGAAATCCAACAAAGCGTGAGAGAAATTAGGGTAAGGGTCCCTTGAATCGTACTTAGGTGGCATATTAGGCTTTTTGATCATTAACTATATATGATAATAATGGAGGCTTATATGTTTAAACTTTTGAAAGTTCTGTCCCTTGGGGCCAACTTGAACATTGGAGCTATCCCACCAATAATGTAACACCACCTCTAAAAAAAACTATGTTTGCTTTTCACTTCTTTTGAACAATCTAGAAACACTTTGCGGGGTTTGGTTCAGGTCCCGTGGACATGGTTTCAAAAGTGGGATTACTTATTATAATAACAGTTGTAATAGGGAATTGACAAATGAAAAAAAAGGGTTGGGGTGAGTGTGTGTGTGGAATCAATTATGCACACGTCTTTATATAATTTAATTTATTATGTAAGATCATGCATCTATAATGCACTCACTACTAGTCACTAGGTAGCTAGGGAATTAAGATGAGAATCAGAATAAAATAGAATAGAGAATTTAATAATTTCAAAGAATGAAATCTTATATAAAGAAAGCTCAAATTACAAATACTTTCCACACCCCCAATCTAAAATAAGGAAAATTAAAAAAAAAAACAAGAAAAACCTACTAGCTGAAAATTAAAGTAATTCACATTTTCCTTCTCTTTGCTCTTAACAATCCTTAATTTAAAATCTATGTCCAACGTAGATCCTATGTGTGTCCTACATATGAATTTATTCTATTAGTTCATTTTTCTACTATTATGATTTTAGTATCTGTAAATTTCACAATATATAGCCCCTTTTTTCTTTTTCCATTTCTCCTATGGAATATATGTTTCACATGTTGTCACTGAATTGTTGAAAGAGCAACATGTTATCAACATTCCAGAAATTGTTGGATGCGTCCCCACTCTGAATCCACTGGTTGTTTGGTTCCAAGTCTTGGAAATCCAGCTCCTGAGGGAATAGCCCAGATGGGCTGGTGATGCAATCCAAAAAGCTGATTTGATGAGCTTGTTGGTAATAATCAGGATTAGGGTTAATGTTATTCCCAACCGGGACAATGTAACAATCCTGGGTAGTCAAGTCCGAGACAGGTGAAACCTGGGTCCCAAACGAGTCTGATGATGTGGCTGTGCCTGTGCTACTATTCTCTGGAGTAGTATAACTTTGTGTCACCTGTGAAACAACAAAGTTGTTGTTGTTCATAATTCCTGGAGTTAGCATCATGTTCCCACTATGAACCTCAAAATTGTTGTTAAGGTTGTTGTCGTGGTTGGATATTATTGTGGTATTATTGGTGGTGACATTTGTAATGGCATCGGGAGAACCGGTGGTGGCAGAAGCGACGGTGGAGGTGGCGGTGGCAGCCGCGGCGGCTTGAATGCGCTCAACCAGCCTTGGCATCCAAAGGTAGCGCATGGTGTCCTTGAATTGCTTACTATTCACGTCACATTTCAGTTGTTTGGCATGCTTTTGGACACGTGTTCTCCAATAGTTCTTGATCTCATTATCGGTTCTTCCCGGCAAATACTGAGCAATTTTGGACCATCTGATCCAATCAATAAATTGAACAAGTTAAATAAATAAAAAATATTAATCAAAATCAGAAAATTGATCAAGTGATGATGAATAACTCAATAAAAAAAAATTGTGGCATGTTTGGTTGCATGCATATATATTTGGCTCACCGGTTTCCCCAACGAGCATGGAGCTCGAGAATAAGAAGTTGTTCTTCAAGTGTTATGTTACCACGTCTAACATCAGGACGAAGATAATTCAACCATCTCAATCTGCAACTCTTGCCAGTTCGTTTGAGTCCTAAAAAAAAAAATTTTACTTGAATTAGTAAAGTTTTGAGTTAGCGAAGTACTACTAATGAAGAAAAAATAAAGAGCCTTTTTTTCTTTTCCTTTGTGGTATCAATTCATTATTCTTTTTTTTTTTTTTCCATTTTCATAAACGGTGTGTGTGTGGCCAAGCAATTATCGACAACTTGCAATTATATATTTCAATTCATTATTGATTTTATGCCCCTACCACACACAAGTATATGCCATTAAAGTCTTATAACAAATAATCCACTATGTCATGATGCTCTTGATATATATAAGAAAACCGCAAACTTTGGCTTTTCTACAATTGCAATCATGAAATAGCTAGTAACCTATAGTATATAGCATTATTCGTTTTCCCCTATCAAAAAAAGAAAAAGGAAAAAATAAATAAAAAAACAAGTTAATTACCAGCAGAACGAGCAAGGGAGTTCCAGCGTCCTTCACCGTGACTTGCAATGTAATGGATGAGAGCAAAGTCCTCATCAACGGTCCAAGGGCCTCTTCGCAGGTCCATGTTTTCATCCTCACTTTGGGTGATGATGATGCCTGAGTTGCTTACCCTTCCTTTCACTTCCATGAGTTACCTACTTTGGATATATTGATTGATTGATTCGATCCCAAAGCAAAAGAATTGCGTAGCTTTGCTTTAGTTTAAGTTGAAGAGGTTAAAGAGATTGAAAGAGAGAAAGAGAGAGAGAGAGAGAGAGAGAAAGAGAAATAGAAAGATGGTTTTGGCTTATTACAAAGAGGTTAGAGAAGGGTGGGGGCTTTTTATAGATATTCAAGGATGGGGTTTGAAAAATGAGCGAGAAAATAAGAAAAAGGAGAAAACAACAAACTAAGCTGAAGTAGTAAAAAAATAATGATTTAATTAACGAACACTAAACTTAGAATTAGGAGGATAATATCATAATAATTATTATTATTATGGCTTTTGAGTAAGGAATGGCTACGAAGTTTGACGCTTTGACAGTTTGACTTTCCCGTCTTTGTTGTGTGCGCGCGTGCGCACTCTGTGTCTATCAGTTTTTGTTATGTGCTCGTTACTCGTAAGTCACAGCACAGAATTCTATATGGAAAAAAAAAATCATAAATTTTTTATATACTAGTCTATATTTTGTTAGGATTTGTTTTTTTCTGCAGTTGACATAGATAAATTATTTGCATTGACTTCAAAACGATATCGTTTTAGAATGAAAATTATAATAGTCTTTATAATTTTAAATCTTTAATATTTCAACATCAAAACGACGTCATTTTGAAAGTAAATACAGATAATTTATCTGAAGTAACTGCAGAAATATTTTTCTGATTTTTTTATTGAGAATACACAAAGTCTAACCGGTCATACACTCTTGTTTAAAGTATGACCGGTTACACATAATGTAGTTTGTAAACAAAAAGTTTGCAAAAATAATCTTTCCTTTTTTTAATTATAAATAAGAGGAAAATTATTTGTTTTTCATTAAAATAGGTGTTAAGACTTAAGCATAGGCAAATAAATTTATGCCGAGTACAAATGAAATGCAAAAATGACACTATTGATTATAAAATAAATAAACTTACAGAAATTGCTGTTTGAAAATAGAAAGTGAGAAATTGTACCAAAAAAGAAGAAGTGATAATTAGTCTGTTTTAACTATTAACATATATATTCAGAAATTTTGCGGAAAATTTCCACACCCCAATTTCTCATGAAAATCATTTCATTTATTTAATTAACGAGCTAGGTTAGTGGAAAATGTTTCTCTCGTTAAATTCTTGTTTGTTGATCAATTTTTGTAAATTAATATGACTGAAAAGTAACTTTTATAAAGTTTAATTTGTATAAAGTGTGTTTAATTAAACTACAAAACCAAATAATTTAACCATCCTTAATTTAATTTTCAAAAAAAAAATTCCTACTTTGAAATTGAAAAAAATTTCGTCACCAGAAACAAATTACACACAACTTTTGTACAAAATCAAACTTTAAAAGTGATAATAAAAAAATTATGGAAGAGATAGTTAAAAAACATTGGAAAAAAATATACAATGTAACTATTTAAAAGGATTATTTATTTTAATTAAAAATATCTTCATAAAATATATATAAGAGTCCATACTTCAATTTCAAGGGAATATTGCGGTTGTTTAGAGATCTTCTCTCAGTTTTTTGGGCTAAACTTTCTTTTCAGATATTCCCGAATGACTTTCCTTTTCCTTTTTTAACCCCTAGGATTCTATATGCTTATTCCTATCCTTTAGCACAATAACCACCCCCTCCCCCTCCCTCTCTCTCTCTCTTCCAAAAAATAATCAATAATAATTTTTTTTTTAAAGATTTATGGGATAGGATATTGTGACACACAAATAATGTTACACACAATGTTACGACCACATCTTAACCATTGATTTTCGTCAATCAACGGTTATTATTTTTCAAATCAAACTCATTAATTAATTATTAATTTGCAATAAATGATAACCGTTGATTGGCGGAAATCAACGGTTAAGATGTGGTCGTAACATTATTTGTGTGTCACAATATCCTAATCCAAGATTTATTAGCAAAAAACTTATTGGGCCGACAGGAGCTCATAGCAGGGAGAGACTGTCATTTATGGGCTAAGTGAACAGCGACATTAAGTGTGTTTAGACACCACAATCAAACTCACAACCTTAAGGCATTAAGTGCATATGTCTTTCTACTTATATGATATTTACTCAGTTTATTCTTAACCAATATGGGACTTTACTCACTCACATTTAGATTCCTCAACATCTCCACCTCAAGTGAGTCGTAGGCCCACATTCTTTTCCCGTCAAGGAGAAGCTTTTTCGAGTATTCATGGGGTTTATCAATGCTTGACTTCTCATCAAGATATTGTCTTCCCATATCTTCAAATACTCGGATCACCACAGGCCAATCCACTATTGGCTCTGATACAACTTGTTGGGCCAATAGGGGAGCTCATATTAGGGGGTGACTGTCATCCATGGGCTGAGTGAACAACAACATTAAGTGGGTTTAGACACCACAATCAAACCCAAAATCTTAAAGCATTAGATGCATGAATCCTTTCACTTATATAGTGTTCACTTACTCCATTTTTAACCAACGTAGGTAGGAGTGTAAATGGGCTAGGCCGGCCTACAGCCTAGCCTATATTAGGCCAGGCTTAGACTATCACAAATAGTAAAATAGAACAGGCTTAGGTTTTTAAAAAAACCTATTTAGAAAACAGGTCATGGGCTCTTTTGTACATATCAGGCCTATATCATATTATTTATTTTAAATAAAATAAATAAAATTATTATTTTAATAATTTTGAATAATAAAGTAATACTATTTTAGTTATTCTTTTATTTGTTGAACATTTAATAAGCTTAAACAGGTTAACAGGCCTAGTCGGCTTTTTTTTTTTAAATACAGGTCTTGACAGACTAGTAATTTGAGGCCTACACAGGCTAACAGGCCAGGCCAGACTCAATATTTTTAACACAAGCTTGGCCTATTTAAGCCAAAGCCTAACCTAGCCTATTTACACCCCTAAATGTAGGTCCTCACCAACTTACAGTTGAATTCCTCAACAAGTATCTCATACATCATACATGTATTTTAAATTTATATAAATGGTAATAATTTTCTCCTACTGACTCATTTATGCAAGTGAGGTCCATTTTCAGGGGGAGAGAAAAAAAATAAAGTAGGACCCATCTTGAATTTGTGTGTGTAAAAGATAGATTCTATCTTACGCAACATAAGAATAATAAATCCCTTATATAAAATATATATTAATTTTTTAAATTTTAAAAATTATAATATATTAAAAAAATTTAAAATTATAAAATTATAAAAAAAATTGAGAATTAAATTTGTCATTCTTAAAAAGATAATAAACTAAAAAAAAGTAAACTATTGGCAAAACAGTATATTCTGATTTAATATATGGTTATAGAAAAGAAATTTCCGTCTTGAGAGAAAGTATAAATGTTTGGGTCTAAGATTTCTTGTCTCTATTTAACTTGGGTATTTATTCTTACATGTATTAGTTAATACGTCCATGTCATATGAGACGATCCTAATCAATCACAGACAAATCAACGGTAATGGAGAATGAAAGAGAAAAAATATTAAAATAGGGAATGACAAGATATCATTATCATTGATTTATCTATGAATAGTTAGAATTCTCTCATATGACATGATCATATTAATTTACACATCAGAACATCTACCCCCATTTAACTTACAATGTCTCTCGAAAATGTTGATAAAGAATTTTGATGGGATCTAAATCGATCGAAAATCGGTCCGTCGAAAGAGTTGGTCGGTAAAACAGTTACCTTTTTATCGAATTTTTATTGTATAGTCCATTAAAAAAAATTTACTTGAAGGAGATTCTCTAATGTGTTATTTAATATAATATATTACGCGAGAGAAATTTAATCATTTAAAAGTGAATTAACGGTGATAAGAAAAAAGAAAGAAAAAATATTAAGATAAATAATTACAAAATCATCATAGCTAATTTACCATTATATGATTAGAATTTTCTCACATGACATAATCATATTAAATAACACATGACATCATCCATTTTCAATTTTGTTAGCCAATGTTACCGGTGCCTCATGCACTAATCTCAGGCATTGTATGCGCAATACATTGCGTGCTTGATTTCGTTTTTGTAATGAAAAGTGAATTATAATATAATATTTGTGTCATAATTAAAAGGCCAAGGTTTCTTCTATATGTGCCCCCAACTAGGACGGCTGCAATAAATTTTCTATTTAATCCTTTGAATTTTGATGAGGCTTTGAGGGACCATCTTCTAAATCGCATTTTATGGCAAGTGGTTATACTAGAATTTAGTTATAATATCTTTCTACATGTAACAATCACTTCAGCAAAGGTAAAAAAAATTTGTATATATTTTTTTACAGCGATTGAAATTTTTAATTAATAATAATCAAATTTTAATATTTTACTTAACCAAGGCCAAATCCAAGTAGCAAAAACCGTATAAATGTAATTATATTGATAAACTCCATGGATTGTAACCTGCCATTGTGGTTGCTTTCTGAAAAAAACTAGCACCAAGATTTCATTCCTTTACCAACTGAGGTATGCAGAAGTTTATACATACTGAATTGGATTGTTAAATATTTTTTAATTGCTTTAATCAGTAAGAAATGCTACGGATTTCTATTAATTATATATATATTCCACTCGCTACATTTATAGCTGTCAATTGGATTGGACCACCTGCGTACGGATTATAAAGTACTGTCATTCTCATTGCAATGTGCGTGTGATTAGTGTTGTTTATTTATTTTGTATAAAACAGTTTGGTCCCAAAAGATAAAAGGCTAATTATACATTGTTGTCATTATATATAATATTTAAAAATAGCCAGTAATATTGGTTTTCTTTGTTCGTTGAAACTTAAAGGAAACAAAGAGGAGTGTTATTGATGTACCAAAAAAAAAAAAAGAGGAGTGTTATTTTCCTTTCTTTTTCACATTAAAATAATCTGAAATGTGCGGATGAATAGCACTATATGTACAAAACTTGAGAATTATTATTATTATATCTGTATTTCTAATTTAGAAAAAAAAAA